GTTGTTTTTGCATCTGTTTCCCTCTCAATGCACACATGCTGAGTTCTCCACATGATCTTGCGCTTCAGTGAATAGGGTAAATATATGTCTAATAACATCAAAATAATAATCTTTTAAACACAATACCCATATTTAACCAAATGAAAGTAAACGGATAAGGAAGACATTTCTTAAAGTGACAGCAGTCATTAACATTCATCAATTACAAAAGACACACTGTTAAACTTTACAAAAGCGAGGCAAGTACACTAAAAAAATAGTTCATTGCAAATTGTCGCAAACAATTTATATAAGCTGTTTTTAAACAAACAAATTAATTTAAACATTACTAAATTTAATCTGTTTGTTTAAATTCAGACAATATAAATTGTTTACAACCACTTACCTTTAAAAAGTTGTAAATCCGACAAATATATATATTTTTAGTGTAGATTCTTCTGTCATAATAAAATTGAATTTGAATTTAAATGAAGAATTGAACAGTTTATTGGAATTCTAAATGATATAAATTTTTATTTTACTTTATATTTATTATTTGCAGCTGGTAAAAAAATTGACAGGGCAAGTGCATAATTCATGTACAACATGAAACATGAAGTGAAAAATTCTTAACTTAAGTAAAAGTTGGGTGATCGACAACAACTACAGATTAAACAAGAATAAGCCCATGTTATGCATACTTAAATGCTTTGTAAATTTTTTACCATCTCATATTCTGTCTAATTGCAGTTTTGTCATTCAGCCCTCATTAAAACTGCATCCATTATATATGGGACGGATAATCTTATGTTACAGTAGGCAAAGAAAAACCCTTTTTTCTTACAAGTAGTGATACACAAGACATGTAGAAGGTTGGATAGATAAGATATGCTCCTTAAAGTAGATTGATATACAGTGCTCAGTATATATAAGAATGCCCCTCACAAATCTATCTTTTAAATTCATATTTTTAATAAATATACAATATTATATTTGTGCATATACATTAAATTAGTCAGAACTGAAGCCATATCTGGAGCTTAACTAACATAACTTACGATAGCATACTGTATATGCTATAGAGAAATTATAAATACATATCTGAAAAAGAGGAAAAATCAAGAGAAACAAAAAAATGTAACAATTTAGTTGAAATTTTGTAAGTTGTAATTGTTTTACAATATTTTGCTTGCTAAATATGTTTGGTGACTAAAATATAAAAAAAAAATATGTATCTATTTAATAAATCTGTTTTGTTTAAATGCACCATTATACATTGCTTATATTCACTGAGAAATAAAGAAAAATATTCATTTTCAAAATGGGGTGTTCTTAATTATGCTGAGCACTGCAGGTACAACATAACAAATAGCTAGTGTTTATATTAAACCACTAATGAAAGCTGTATTATACTGTATGTCTCATGCTAACAGCTATACAGATAACTTTGAAAGTTTTCTACAAGACATATTAAAACATTTATGTTAGAATTTAGTTTTTTTTTCAGAACTTTAGTTACTTGCATCAATTGGTAAAGTTTTGCCCATCTAGGGATTTGCTCTTTGGTGTATGGACTTTCTGCGGTGAAATTTAAACCACACAGAACTGAACTAAACTAAACTAAACTTCAACTCTGAAAACTAGACTGACAGTTTGCGTATACTAGAACTTCTATGTCAAGCTGCTTTGACACGATTATAGTAAAAGCACTATAGAAATAAAGATGAATTGAATTGAACTGAAAAGTTTTGGAAATAATGTTGTTTGACTACAATTATTTTAACAAATAAATATTCAAACCAATCAAAGCAAAAATACTTTGCTTGTGGTTACTATAATTATGGAATATTTAATTGTCAGGTCCCAATAAATATAATTTAAGCAAATAATGATCATTTATTGCCTTTTTTGCAGCTGTCGCTATTTCAACCAACCATGTTTTAGAACATTTTTCAACTCAAGGAGTTGTGTACATGTGTGTTCACATAAGTTACATCATTGCATACCATCTACAGTAATCATCCTTAAAAAATGTAACTTTGGCAAATGTAGGAATGAAGACATGCATAAATATTTTTGAATGTGAATGAATGCTGTTGCAATATTGCACCATGGTATCGGAAATGGTATCAAGTGTATTTTAAGGTACTGTACCGAAGTTGGAAATTTCAGTATCGTGACAACACTACTTCAAACAGTGTTTTTCCTCTCCTCCTCACAGTTCGTGCTCTCACATTTGCAGGTTATGCCCAGATAGATAGTGTTAATGAGGGATTCTGACAGACGGTCTGTGTGAAGATCCTGCTCCGCGATCCTGAGGGATTTCTACAGTTAACAAGCTCACTGGGGAAGACCTTGGCAGCCTTTTCCCACGCTGTCAAGCAGGGTTCAGTGCTGAAGAACAGTGTTAAAATGCAGTCTTCCCCTCTTTCTTCCTTTAATTTTTCAGTTTATTTACACCCAGTCTGAGGTATGGTGTCAATCTGGATGCATTGTGGTGCTCCAGATGTCTCTGCTAAGCCCTAAGAATGGAGAACACATTCCTCTGGTTAATAAGAGCAGAATTCCGCAATCATTCTGTCTATCTGTGTGTGGTCTGTTGTCTATGACACTCTATAATATGGGTTACATGTTTTTCAGTGGCTGATAACAATATCTAGAATGCAGACGTGACAGATTTTCCAGGCTGATCTCACAAGGAAACTTAACCATTTTATATTGTCAGGAAAGTGGCTAATTTATAGGACTTCATATGATTTAATTTGTATTAAAATGTATGATTTTTAGGAGGCATGTCCGCAAACCCCACCCTAACCCTACCCCTCATTAGGGGGTCAGCAAATCAAAGTAAAACTGATGTATGGGATTGAATAAATTAATACAAATTAGCCACTAAATAAAAAAAAATTCTAAATTGCTTTGAGATAGCATTTTTCCATGAATTATCTGTATGTATGACAAGGGCTACTACTCTTTTGATAATTCCTCCTGAGAACAGTGTTGGGGAAATGCATTCTAATTCATGCGAGTTACGTAATAATATTACTTCTCTAAATAACGAGCAAAGTAGCGCATTACTTAAAAAAATTAGATAATAATATTTAAGTTACTTTTTAAAAATGTAACTCGTTACTTTTGAAATTAATTTACTTTTAAAAACGAGTTTGCTGAAATAAAATGAGTGTAATCCCGTTAAATCAGTGAAACCCTGTGGTCTCTGCAGGAACAGACAAAAATCAAGATGGCCTTTCTGTGTTGGAAGTATTGTCATTAATTTAAACACATGGAAGAGAAGGGGATACTCTCAGTGGACAATGATTTTACTGAACTTATAAGACAAAAATACAAAAGTAACAAAAGCATGTTGCTTTAAACTTTCATTAAGCTGTATATACAGCATGTATTGTGTCAGGAAGTCCTCTGAAGGTAACATTCAAAATGTTTTAATTTTTATTTTTTTTAAAGGTAAATGAGGTACAGTGTGTTGTTACATGCAGAGCTCCTCTATTTAAAAACAAGAGAAAAATACCCTGCAAATTCTGAAAGAGATCAAGCCTCAGCAACGCAAGGAAGTGTAAAGCAAAAGTAACTCAATAGTAATGTAGCGCATTATTCTCCATAAACAGTAACTAAGTAGTGCAACTAGTTACGTTTTTAGGGAGTAACTCAGTTTTGTAATGCACTACTTTAAAAAGTAACTTTCCCCAACACTTCCTGAGAACACCAGTATACTTTTATGAACATGTACAGTGCTCAGCATAATTGAGTACACCCCATTTTGAACATAAATATAGGCAATGTATTTTAATGCATTTAATCGAAACAAATTTATTAAACAGATGTATTTGTTAAAATAATATTTTAGTCACCAGATTTAGAAATAGAAAGGGAATACAATTAAATTCAAGCAATATATTGCTGAAAATAATTACAACCGACACAATTTCAAAAAATGTTTTCAATTTCTTGCTTCTCTTGATTTTTCCTTCTCATCAAAATTGTATATAATATTTTTCTGTAACATACAAATTTGGCTGTACTTGTTTTTGGAGCGTTATTATAAGTTATTTTGTTAGATAAGCTCCAGATTTGGCTTCAGTACTGATTTATCTAATGTATTTGCACAAATATAATATTTTATAGCTTCCTATTTAAATATGATTTTAAAAGATAGATTTATGAGGGTTGGACATATATATGCTGAGCACTGTATGGGTTTGAGATGTAACGTGTAATTAAATTGAACCCTTTTGTACGAGGCTTTTGGATCGGTAAGCATTACAAACTAAATGAATCAAATTATAGAAATAATGTCATGGTGTAGACCAGTGGTTTCCAGTTCTGATCCTCGGGACCCCGGCCCTGAACATTTTGTATGTTTTTCTTATTTGACACACAAGGATCCGTTCAAGAATTTCTCGGTTTATGAGCTGATTACCTGAATCAGGTGTTTTAAGTAAGGAAGACATACAGTACAAAATGTGTGGGAACCAGTGGTTCAGCGCAAGTGTTTTCAGTGTTGATAATAACAGAAAATGTCTCTTCAGCTGCAAGTCAGGATTATTATGATTTTTGACACGTCTTGTGACACTATACTGGAGGAAAAATGCTGAGAATTCTGCTTCATCATCACATGAATGTATTGAATAAAATATAACAATAATTATAATAATAATAATAATATTGTAAATGATTATAAATATAAATATGTGAACATTTAAAGATGTGAAAAGGCATGTGAGAAGTTTATTCTGAAAATGAACTGATATTTATTTGTATTTAAAGAAAATGCATTATCCATTGACAAGTCTACTACTCCAAGGAAGAGGGACATACTGCAGCACTGTCACACTATTTAAGTGTTGTTATCCCTTAATCTCCATATGTAATCAAACATCAGCAATTTTCTATCATTCAAATCAAATCTGTTTGAAATACATGAACAAAAACAGAAATGACAACTAAAACATGCTCTTTTTCTGTCCCCTCTCTATTGTTGTTTTTTTTTCTGTCTTTCCTAGGTCAAAGTGTTGGACTGACTCGCTCTGACAGGTTTGATCCCAAAGCATTCTGTGACCTCCAGAGCACTGCTCCTCTTTTCCTCTTGCGTCACATCATTCCTGTACATCCTCCTGAAACTGGCTGAACTGGAGTGAACACGGACCATCAAACAGGAATATATTACCTCCAAGAGAACTTCAGGATCCTATTCAGAAAGTTACCTAAAACCAAAACAACGACTGCTACAACTCTGGGCCGTACACTGTGAACAAATGGCGTCATAACCACTCACACGTCACCAGTCATTAGTCTTACAGCTGCCAGAGTAAGCACCCACACGGACCAACGCAAGCAAAGCGCTCCTAGCTGGATTAATCAAAGGAGCTCATGATGGGACAGTAGAGATCGGGCATTACGGATAGCCTGCACAGAGGTCTGGGACTCAGTGTTGTGTCTGAGCGTGCCATGTCTGGAAACGGCAACCCTTGCCCCAGTCCAGGAGGGTTGGGCACCCCTCTGGGGGGCTTCCCTATGCCGCACTACCCTTACTTCTTTCCTCATATGCTTGGAGGACTCTCTCCACCAGCGCTTCCAGGACTTCCCGTCAGTGGATACAGCACTCCATCTCCAGCAAGTGAGTTCCCCTGTTTTTTTCAATGCTATGAAACATGTGCAGTGTTTACTATGTGTTATTGAAAGGCCCACATGGAATTCGGGATTTCTGCACATTTTTAGCCCATCATTGATTCTGTTTATTTACTTGTGTAAATGTGTGTACATTTATATTTTTTATTTTTAAATTAATATTAGTATAATTAATGACTTATATTAAAATATTCAGATGATTTATTTACAGTACAGTTTGTAAATAATGTTTTCTGTCCTTGAATTGATCTATTATATGAGAGACTTGCTTATAAAGTGAATCTAATCGGATTTGCATTAAATAAAAGTTAAAAAGCCATTATTTTTTTTATTTCATACAGTATATTAAGGTTTTTTTGTTAAGGTCATGATGCTCCCAAAATCATTTATTTTTTAGACAAAATAAATATATATATATATATATATATATATATATATATATATATATATATATATTTTAAACAAAATTCTTCGCAGAAGTAGCAAAAAAATGTCTTCAGATTATATCTGGACCTAGTCTATGCTCTTAGCTGATGCATTTACAGTAGGTCTGAAGCACTGAAGAATGGGACACGGTACACTCTCAGAAATAAAGGTGCGGGATCTGTCACTGGTGTGGTAGCTTTTCGAATGGTACAATTTTGTACCTAAAAGGTCTATATTAATACCTCAAAGGTACATATTAGTACCTAAAAAGTACAAAAGTGTTGCTCTTAAATTTTTTGGGTACTATAGGACTGACAAATATGGACCCTTCAGGTACAAATATGTAACTTTTGAAAAGGTATCCCCCCAGTGACAGCTCGCGTACCTTTATTTCTGAGAGTGTATGGTACATGCTTAGGTTTAGGTTAGTTATATAAATACAAATACACATTCAAATAAATAATTACCCATAAATGCATGCTAAATAAGTCACCTGAGGCTAATGGTGCAAGAGTTAAGGGGATAATTCTCCCAAAAATGACAATTCTGTCATCCTTTACTCTCTTTTTACTTGTAACCATTGACCTCCATAGTATATATTTTTCCTACTATTGATGTCATTGGTTGCAGGTTTTCAGCATTCTTCAAAGTATCTTCTTTTGTGTTTAACAGAATAAAGAAACTCATAAAGGTTTGAAAGCACTTGAGGGTGATTAAATAGTTCACTCAAAAATGGAAATATACTTTCTATGTCACTAATGGCAGTTCTCAACTAGAAAAAATATACTTTTAAATCTAAAAAATAATAGGGCTGGGCGATTAATCAAAAACTAATCGAAATCGACATTCAAAATCTATAATCAATCGAATTTTTCCAGGACAATTTTTTCAGTTACTTTCCCTAGCGTAGAGTCTGGTGACCCCGCTCTGTTAGCCACACTTTGCATCCACATCTGATCTCTGGTCAAGTAGGACGATAGACCCATTCTTGAGCCTTACTTTGCACTACATTGACGATGATTGGAAGCTGCGCTAGAGATGCCTTGAGGCGGCATATTTTCCATTACATTAAAATTATTATTTACATTAAAATATTTGTTTACATATGTAGAAAAATATTAGTTTCAGAATATGCAAGTGTTATTTTATTTAGAAGAGATGCTGCTTATTTTCTATTGTCTATTGATTCCAAAATAATAGCTATTTTTACTTTTTTATAAGAAAGTGAAATTTCAGTTGTTCAACATTGATGTTCCATAAATAATCATAGATGGTAGATAGTGTGCGTTTCATTCAATTATTATATTAAAATGTAGTAATGCACCATTCATTCAGAAATCTCTCACTTGTAATATGTGAGCACATTTACTGTACAAAACCTGTCAGTGAACAATGTGGGAACAAAATAAATAAATAAATCAAATAATCGTTCATTAATCGTAATTGACTTGAAATGTTCTGAGATTTTGGTTTTAGGGCAGATCACCCAGCACTATAATATCATAATAATTACTGCTAAATAAATACTAATATAAAAAGCTCTATGCACTATAATAACTGTAACTGTCATTGTGTTTACCTATCTTTATGCTTTGATTATTTGTGTTGTTTAAAAATTGCTTTGGATTAATACATATGCTAAGAGGTTAAATGATATGACATGTAAAAATAATAGACAATATAATTATACATTTGACTATCCTTATAATGTTTCCAAAAACTGTGATGCATGATTGCTCTAGCAGACTATGTGTGAAAATAATCATAACCCGGTAGATCTAGTTGACCGTTGTTGACTGTAAGTGCGCAAAAAACACTTTTTTTTTTTTTGGATATCCATGTAATCTGAAAGAATAGTCAAATAAGACTCACAAAGTAATGACCAACATCTATTTGTCATCTAGGAATACAAACTTATCACAGCTTCATATCGAAAACGGGTTTTCTTTGAGAGTCATGTTTGCTGAAATAGCCCATCAGAGGTTACTTTAGGTCAGAATCCACTCATTGACCCTCAAAACACTGAATGTTTGATTGATGGGATGTAATTGAATTAAATACGAGAATGTGGTTCACTGAATCACTGAAGCATGCACTACACTATATGTTTTACACAAATTACTGAAAAAAGCCAGTGTGGTATAACTGGTGTTTGGTATTTGCTGTACAAAAACCTATATAAATAAATGCGAGGTAAGAGTCAAATGCAATCCTGTGCAAAAAGATGCTTGAACTGCTGCCGTTTCATTATTTTGTTATTAAGAGGAAAATGCGCAGCAGAAATGTACTTATCTTACTCTCGCTCTTATCAGCATCAGGATGTTGACTGACAGTAAACCACAAGTCAAGGGTTACAAGCTTCGTTTTATCCCTAAATGTAGAGCAAAATATCACCTGATTAATTATGCAGCTATCAAATGAAGCGTCCAATATGATTACATTGCTTATTTTTGGCGCGAGGTGTCCATTTATGAGTTTACAGATCTTCTTGCTACAATGTAAATCAGTTCCTGCAGATGTGGTTACTGCTCTTGCTGTGTGTGTTTTACAATTTACCCACTGACCACATTAAGCCTCGGGAGGGCCTTGATTAAATGCTGTTGGAGCCCAGCTTTAATTTTTGAACAGCCACCACGGGACAGTTTTAAAATCGCGCCCTCGAAGAGAGTCTTTGAAATTTGGCTCTTTTATATCTTCTGAAAATCTCTTTCAGCCAAGCTTGCGCATGAATAAATGTATGAAATACACTCTGGATCAATATGCTAGAGTGGTTGACTATTTGAAGTCTTTGGTTCATTGTTGCTTTGGTTCTGGCAGATGTCTTTAAGCTCTGTTCCGCTAACATGGATTGAATTTGTTTATACACATGATCCTGCTGTTTCCAGGCCTTGATGTGTTGGATCTCATTGGTTTATTCAGGTTATCTCTGCTGTCTGTTGTTTGACCTGTTCTGTGCTTTAAGGTGCAGAAACCACTGGAATGTTCCTGGGCAAAAGTGAGATGCCATGGTGCCCTCAGTGCCTGGGGTTACGAACGTCCTCGTGTGAACTAGAACTGTGTGTCTGTTAGCTCGGGTCTGTTTGTGCATGAATGTTTGCATGTGAGCACTTGATGATTACTGAATGAAACAAAAACGTCTGGGTTCCTTGTAGGTGATGTAAAATAAGCAGTTGTAGGGTGGGGCTATACATTAATTTTATGTTTTTTTTTTTCTTTTGAGTTTTATCTATATGTTAATATTTAGTATTTAATATAGCTAGAATTTAAGATTTGAAATCTTAAATGAAAGATTTAATGGGTTGAACTCTTTTTGTGGTGCTTTCAAAATGTTGCTGTTTGTTTGTGTCTCAACCACTGGCACCTGTTTGTCTCAACCACCGTCAGCTGAACCTATGGAATTTTAGGTTTGGGTCAGGACTGCAGGTGGGACACACCTTGTTTGAGAAGAATCAAATTGAGCAATTACACAAATCAGTGCATCGGATTTTTACTGATTTACTGAAATGACTGTTTGCCTAAAACCGACTCTTATTTTATAGAAATAAAACAAACAGTTATGTCTCATTTGCTATGAAACAGCTCTTTTAAGTAATGATGCTGATCGCTAAGTTGTTAATTGATTTGTTTTGAAACTGACAGTTAAAACTTTGGATTTTTGCTTATTCTTTCATTTTCCTTCGGCTTAGTCCCTTTGTTTTTAAGAGACCATCACAGCGAAATGAGCCGCCAACTTATACTGCATATGTTTAACACAGTGGATGTCCTTCCAGCTGCAACCCAGTACTGGGAGTCATCCATACACACTCATTCACACACATACACTACGTACAGTTTAGTTTATTTAATTCACCTATATGGCACATATCTTTAGACTGTGGGGGAAATCACGTGAACACGGGGAGAGCGTGCAAACTCCACAGAGAAATGCCAACGGACCCTACTGTAACCACTGAGCCACTGTGTTGCCCTATTTTTGCTCATGCTCTTTAAAAAAAAAGTCTTTTTGAATGAAGACTCTAATGACTGAGATTCATACTTCCCCCCTCCCCTAGCAGGATTTTTGTCGGGAGAGCTATTTGAGAATTACAGTGGCAGACTTTCTATTATCAGAGTTTGTTACCATTCAGACACAACGCCTATATCCATGCTGCTGTGTTCGTGTTTGTGTTATGTGTAAAATCCTCCAGATTACCGGCAGGTTGGGCAAAAGACCTGCTGCACTGCTCTACTGTGTATTCAGACCCAGGGATTGAGAAAGAGAGAAGTCCTCCTTATTTAAAGTGTTTATATAAACATGATTATCTTTATAATGATATAACAAATTGTGGTTATGTGTTTATGAAATTACGAATAACAAATGTAGCAGGACATTAAATTATTTACGGTTTATTTCTTTGCATTTTAACTTTGTAAACTATAAAATTATGGGTCTCCTCATGCTTTGTGTCTCATTTTGTGAGCCAATTGACTCACTAAATGACTCGTTTGCTTCCCAATTTTTCCCCTGCTCTGCTGGCCACACCGACTCCTGCCTTTGCTCGCAGAGCTCCACGCCCATCAGAG